CGTCTCTGCTATAAACCGAAATACGGAAGAATTCTTCTGAAAGCGCACTTGTGGACAAGCTGTTTTTGTGGAATCAGTACCACAAAGGCAAAATATACATCGATGAACAAAACACATCGGTCCAAATGTTTTATAGCAGATTTAAGTACCGTTTATGTATAAACAAGGTAAAGCCAATGTTTGGAAACGTATTGATTGACATATTCAAACGTATGTACTTTGATCAAACGTATTGTATTCATGACAACTAAAATGAATGAATGAAAAAGTCCTTTTATTTACAAAATAAGTTAGAACAATTGACACTCTAGCACTAGATTCAATGATCTGTTGTATAGTAGCTTATAATTATCAATATTCAAATACAGTATACATATAAATAATATATTATTGTTCAACAACTAAAAAGAAATTTCGTTAGTATTCTGTAGACGATGAAAAGTAAGCCATTTAAACACCATTAAGAGATGAGTTTGTTTAACAATTAAGCTAACACTTTTTGAACAGCACTTGTTTACATCATTGTTGTCATAGTAGTTAGTTATCAATAACGAACCATCAAGAATCTTCCAGAAACTTCTAGGCTTTGTGTCATCATTGTAGTTGTTGCCAAAATTTTTTGTTATTGTTCAATAGTATTAAAAATTTGAGATACAAATATTAGAAAAAATTATTTATTTTGAATATCAAGCGAGATATGGAGCTTGAAAGTAGTACATTTTTCATCGTTGGTACCAATTCACAGGGAGAATGGTTAATGCGATTCTCACCAAAATTGGCATTCGGGTGTGGAAAAATAAGATAATAATCACTAGCTATTAAAAATTATACATTAAAAAAAATATTATTTTTATTTTTTATAAAATATTTTAAAAATAAAAAATTTAAATTTTGAACTAGCTGTTTATTTTGAGGGGAAATTAATCTGTATTTTGGAGTTTAAAAACATGTGATATGTTAACACGTTTGGGCTGTGAATTCGTACCTTCGATGCCTTGCGATGTCGGAGCACTACTCGTTGAGAGTGTGTACACTAACACCGGGGCTTTAGAATACAACGATAAACGTATTCTTTCAACGTTAAAAGATGATAATTATGTTTAAATTTTTTATAAAAATAAAATTTAAAAAAATTATAATTTAAAATAGCTAGGTAGTTATTATTATCTTATTTTTCCACACCTAAATTCTAATTTTGGTGAGAATCGCATTAACCATTCTCCCTGTGAATAGGTACCAAAGATGAAAAAATTACTACTTTCAAGCTCCATATCTCGCTTAATATTCAAAATAAAACATTTTTAGCGAATTTCCCATAGGGAAGTAGATATTACCGTAGGTCTCATGGTAAGACCTAAGCCCGGGACCGATTTACTTTTTCATTTTGATGTCCCCAGAGGCCAAAAACACCATTCGTTCAAATTTTTATATATCTATATATATATATATATATATATGTGTCCATCCGCACGATAACTTGAGTAATTTTTGTCCGATTTTGATAAAATTTGGTTTGAAGGTGTAAGGCAGGATAAACTTGAATGAGTTCGCGAACCAGCATGATCGGACTATGGGAACGGGGGTTTATGGGGGGTTTTATGGGGTAAAAATAGGTTTTTCCCATTTTTGACCCTAAAAACACAAAATTTCACAATTTCTTTTTAAACCATTTTGTAGAGCTTAAAAAAAACAAATAATTTAGTATATTGAAGCGTTATTATGCGCCTAATTGTTACGGAGAAAATTCAAAAAAATTGTAATTTTAAAATTCCCATGTTATTCTTATGGAGAATAAGTCAACTGTTGTAGTTTGCTTGTTTATGAACATATTTTGATCAAATTTGGAAAATACATTAATTTCTTACTAAACCATAGTACCTTTTAATATTTTACATTAAAAAAACTTTTTTACCCTCCCTGTTGCAGCAAACCTAAGAACTCATTAAACTAATTCTGTTTAAATAGGGAATAAATGTGATATTTTTAAGGAGACAATTTAGTTTGAATCTAATCAGGCAGATGGAAATTCGCTAAGTCTGCAGGTTTGCTGCGGCGGGGGTATTTCTTATATATTTGTATCTCCAATTTTTAGTAGGCTACAATTGAACAATAACAAAAAATCAGACATGAAAATTTACGACCAAACACCCTTAACTAAACCTGATAAAAACATAGGAATTGAGGCACTGAGTATCAGCATATGCATATTCTTATCTCAAAAATCCTTGCGGGCTCCGCCCCAGTGGCTCAGTATCTCCCCATGTTAACCTTATGAGTATTCATATTTAATGGGAATTAAAGAAATTAGTCAGCTGTTTCAACTAAAAAAGTTGGTTCTATGAAATGCAAAAACATTAAAAAGTTATAAGATTTATCAACAGGGTGCAGCACTAATATTTTTTTGAATTTATGAAAACAGCTAATCTATATAAATAATACCCCCGCCGCAGCAAACCTGCAGACTAAGCGAATTTCCATTTGACTGATTGGATTTACACTGAAATGTCTACTTCAAAATATAACATTTATTCTCGATTTAAACATTTTCTAAATTTGATCAAAATATGTTCATAAACAAGCAAACTACAACAGTTTACTTATTCTCCATAAGAATAACATGGGAATTTTAAATTTACAATTTTTTGGAATTTTCTCCGTAACCATTAGGTGCATAATAACGCTTCAATATACTAAATTATTTGTTTTTTTAAGCTCTACAAAATGGTTTGGAAAGAAATTGCTAAATTTTATGTTTTTTGGGTCAAAAATGGGAAAAACCTATTTTTACCCCATAAAACCCCCCGTAAACCCCTGTTCCCATGGGCCGATCATGCTGGATCGCGAACTCGTTCGAATAGACGTAGGTTTACACGTTTGTACCAAATTTCATCAAAATCGGATCATTTTTGCTTGAGTTATCGTGCTGACGGACACATATATATATATATATATATATATATATATATATATATATATATATATAAACTTACACTAGGCTGTTAAGGGGACAACAGAATAAGAGAACAGTTGACTGTTCTCTCAACAGCGTCTGGTATAGTAAAATTTGTCAGTATTGCCAACCTTCATAGAACAACCACCAAATGAGAGGGGAAATAGATAATAAGAGGACAGCAAAAGGTCCCTTTAACATCTTCCCACATGGCATGGCTGTTGAGAGGACACTTAACCGTCCTCTTATTCTTATGTCCTCTTAACAGCCTTGTGTAAGCTTAAAGTGTCCTCTCATCAGCTCCATGTATAGTAAGCCTGGTATTAACATTAAATTTAGTTTCCTTTTCTTGATTATGAGTTTAATTACATAAAAGGGTAAAAAAATGTCACATTAAGATATGGTCTAATATTAATATTTATCACTGCCTATACATACCTATGAAAATGTTCTATACTACTGTCCAGCCCCATAAATATTTCCAATCCCCATCCATCCAATATATATTTTTAAACTCAAAATATTTTCGCATCACTCACCCGCGTACCCATATAAAATAATGTTAATTTTTTTTTTAGATTTTTAGATTTTTTATGCTGTATTATTGTTTTTGATCAAAACTTGATACCCACGTAGTGTGCCTGAATTTTAACCGTTTTGCCGCATCTCTTACCGTTTTTAAGATATAAGCATTTCTTAAACAATAAAGCAATGCCGCTCCGGCAGCGCTTGGAGTTTAACCTTTGCACCTATTCTAGAGCCAACGTTGACATTATAATACAGTGCATTGACATACAAATGTAAATGTTTAATATATTTAACAAATGGTACCCATATAAAATAATGTAAACTAGGTGGCTTTCGCAGAGGCATCCACAAAATTGAGCGGAGTCATCAGGGTTCCATATAATATATTGTTATTGACCTTCACCATCGAGCTTCACAGTTATTTTTACCTACAATTTTAAGTGAAGAGAACACTTGTGTAAAGATAAATATTGGTATAATTAGATTAGCTACACGTTGATTCGTAAAAAAAGGGGAGTAAAAAACACGGAGATGTAATTTTAGGCATTTTCGGAGACCTGCATTTACATTTTAAGTTTAAACCCTCTTAGGTTTAGTCATTAACTTATTCTAAAACAGGGTGGTTCAGATGTAACTTAGAAATCAACCCTTTACAGTTTCGAATCCTACCATTTTGGCTACTAATAACTGCATAAGAGGGCTTTATGTGATGGTTAGAGTATAAGTGAAACCAAGAAATATATTATCGTTACAAAAGTTATATTAACATTCACATTTGCATTTATTCAAGCGTTTAAACCATAACCTAAGTGTTACACGTTAATAATTTGTATAATCAATCGGAAGGTGATCGAAGACGAAGATTAAGCCGTCGTGTTTTGGCTAAAATTTCTGTGCTTCCTAGTCGTCCTTGTCACAGAAAACATACGACTATAACCATTATAGTAGTACTAGGTAAAACCCGTCGAAATGGACGGTTGCTTTAAAGGCTTACGACAATTCTTCTAACTGCGAAAAAAGAGTGAAATTACAAAAAAACGTGCGCATTTAGCATTGTTTAATGAATACGGTAATAAATAGGTGTAAAAACAATAATGACTATTATGCGTTAGTTACAAAATATGGTTGATCATTCAATGAATAACATATTTCTTATTTCGTCCGTCATAGGAGTTATTGTTCCTATGTATTGTATAATAATTAGATTCAAATCAAAAGATAGGTACATTATTTTATTCAATCCATTCTATTTACAAAATTGGTAAACATAAACAAGCAATTAATGAACACATGTTTAAAACTATACATCAACTCTCCCCCCTTAGCGTAAGGGAAGTATTTGGTCTGAGTGACGAGTCCAAGTGAGTCCAGTGTCTGTCTTGACTTTAAACATAACATTTCCTGTTCTTGAAATTATTTTCCCTTCCTTCCACTTTACTTTTGAGGAATAATTTCTTACCAGTACTCTCTGTCCCACCTGAAAATTTCTTTTCAGATTGTGTTCCGACATAGTCTTTTTATTCTATTCAACTTTATCTGCCATCACGTTAAGTTTCGTTCTTATGTCTCTGCCAAACATTAACACATAAGCGGAGAGTCCTGTAGAGTTTGGAGCTTTGCGTAACTGAGTTACGAGAAGATCTATTTTATGCTGCAAGTCTCCCTTGTCTTCACTCATGGCAGCCAATGATCTCTTGACAGTTTGGACAAATCGTTCAGCTTGGCCATTGCTTGATGGGTGAAAAGGTGCACAAGTCCTATGGCAAATTCCATTATTGCTTAGAAACCTTTGAAAAAGTGCACTCGTAAATTGGGAGCCGTTGTCTGTTACTATAATAACTGGCAGTCCAAAAGTTGAAAATAAGTGACTTAAATTTCGAATGCACCAGTCTGAAGAAGTGTTTTTTGTATGTATAACCTCCAACCATTTTGTATGGGCGTCAATAATTATGAAGAAATAATTTCCATTTACGGGTCCACAAAAATCCAAATGTAAGCGATGCCAGGGAGCTGTAGGTTCTTCCCAAGGGTGATGGTTTAATTTAGATGGTTCATTTCTTTTCAGTTTGCATTTGTCACAGTTATTAACCAAGTTTTCAATATCATTATCCAAGTTTTTCCAATATACATAACTTCGCGCCATGGCCTTCATTTTCGACATGCCTAAATGCCCAATGTGTAGTTCCTTGAGAACTTCTTTCTGCAATGTGTTAGGTATTACAACTCGACTACCTCTAAAGATGCAACCTTTATGTAAACTTAAATCATTATTTCGGAAACCAACCTTTTCCAGATTTTCTCCATTTTCTAGTGATGTAACTATTGTAGCTAGTACAGGGTCTTTCTTTGTATGCTCTGCAAGTGTACATTGTGTGAGAGGAAGAATTGCTATTTGATTCATTTGGAACTTGGAATACAAGTCTTCATCATCTTGAGTTTGTTCAACTGGAAAACGAGACGAGAAATCTGCGTTACAGTGGTCTGAAGTTCTTCTATACTCAATTGTATAATCAAACCCAGCAAGGAAAAGTGAGTAGTTCAATAAACGAGTAGCTGACATTGCCGGTAAGCATTTTGATGGATGGAATATGGAAACAAGAGGTTTGTGGTCCGTCTGAAGAACAAACTTTCGTCCATAGCAATAAGCAAAGAATTTCTTTACCCCCCAGTAAATTGCTGTAGCTTCTTTGTATATTTGACTGTACTGTTTTTCACTTTTTGATAAAGATCGGGAAGCAAAAGCTATGGGTTGTTCCGACCCATCAGGAAACTTATGGGAAATTACTGCTCCCAATCCATAAGGAGATGCGTCAGTTGAGAGTATTAGAGGAAGTTTTGGATTGTAGTGTGCTAGAGTGTTGTCATTGGCTATGTGCTTTTTAACATTGATAAAGCTGTTTTCACATTCTTGTGACCATTCAAATCGCTGTCCTTTCTGTAGTAACTTATTCAATGGATATAGCTTTTCGGCCAGTCTTGGTATGAATTTGTTGTAGTAATTGGCCATGCCAATGAAAGATCGTAGTTGATTCACATTTCTAGGTTTTTCTGCCTCGATAATTGCTTTGACCTTTTCTGAGTTTTTCTTCAGCCCGTTTTCATCAATTGTATGTCCCAAGTATTGTTATTCTTTGTTGAAAGAATTTACATTTGTCAAAATTTAATTTCAAGTTATGCGCTCTAAGTTTTTCTAGGACAGTTTTTAATCTCTCTAGTGTACTCTTGTAATCTGTACCTTGAATGATTATATCATCGAAAAAGCACTTAACTCCATCAGTCCCTTGCAGTACCTTATCCATGAATCTTTGCCACAGTGCTGGTGCTACTTTCACTCCAAACATCAACCTGTTTACTTTATACAAACCTTTCTGAGTGCTTATTGTTTGTAGCAGAGCACTTTCAGAGTCCATTGGCATGTGTAAGTAAGCATTACTAACATCGAGTGTGCAGAAAAATTTACCTTCATTCATCTCTGCAAAGATGTCCTCAATTCTTTGTATTGTATACTTCTCATCACGGATAACTTTATTCAACGTAGTCTTGTAATCTGCACATATTCGTACCGAACCATTAGGTTTTACTACTGGCACAATTGGCGTACCCCATTCTGAGTTTTCAATCTTTGTAATAATACCAGCTTTTTCCAGTCGATCGAGTTCTTCTTCCACCTTTTGTTTAATAGCATAGGGCACTTGCCTCGGCTTCACAAATATTGGACCACAGCCTTCTTTTAGATTCAGGTGTCCTTTTTCATTTGGAATGCAACCAATTTCCTTACTGAATATATCTGAATAACTGTCAAGAACTTGTGCCAACTCAGATGAGTTTTGATTCAACATTCTAATATCACCAATTTCTAAATTGACTTCTCTTATCCAGTCTCTACCAAATATTGGTTCAACATCTTGGTCGATAATAAATAGTTTTCCGAAGTAAATCTTTTCTTTGTACTGAAACCTAACATATACTACGCCCTTAGTTTGTATGATTTCACCTGTATATGTGCGAAGCTGTACATGTGATTTGAACATTCTCTTATTGATATCTAATCTCTTATAGTCCTCAACTGAGATTGAAGATAGCGCTGCTCCTGTATCAAGTTCCATAGATAATGGGTTTCCTTCAATTTCTATTTTCATAATGAACTTATCACTGTTATTTACTTGAAGTTTATAAGAATCGTAGGTAGTATGATCTACCTGTTTTTCAGCCTCTCTGTCCTTTAGTTGGTCAATTCGTTGTTTTCTTGGTCCTCCCTTACATACCTTTGCAATATGCCCTACTTTGTTACATAAATTGCAAAATTCATTTATAAACTTACATGTATTTGCTCTATGGTCTTTATCTCCACACCGATAACACCGTCCTTGTAGACCTGAAAACTTTGAACGGGAAGGAGAATATTGGTCTTTGTTTGTTGCCTGTACAGCGTTCTTATTCCCAGAGCATCTGTCCCATTTTCTTGTCTGATTCTCTACAACCTTGAGCACTGGAACTGCTGGTGGTGCTGTTTGAGCAGTCATCATGCTGCTTTCAGTTCTCGAAGCTTCCAGTGATGTTGCAAGTTCAAGTGCTTCCTTAAAAGTAGTTACAATTTTCTTCTGTAAAAGTTGTCCTTTAATATCATGGTCGTGAAGTCCTCTTACCAATTGCATGCGTAATAACATATCAGTTACTGACTTTCCACAATCACAGTTAAACTGACAATCTTTGGACAGTTTCTTCAATTCCATAGCGAATTCAATGATTGACTCATTCGGTTGTTGTACTCTACACACAAAGCGATGTTGTAATGTTAATACACTTGGTAATGGTTCCAAATGGTCTTTTAAAACAGTAACAACATTTTCATAGTTCATCTTGTAAGGGTCATCAGGGGCAACTATGTCTAGAAGACGTTCATGTAGTTTAGGTGAAAGTGCATGTAGTAAACTACAAAGCTTTGTTTTCTATTCATTTACATCTTTAAGTACAAGAAAATTTTCAAATCTTTTAATGAAATTCCTAAAAGATTCTTCTTCATCGTATGGAACAAAACTAATGTTTGATGTTGTGCTTGGTTCCTTGTTAAGCGTATGTGCTGCTGTAGGCTCTGTATTATTGTGTCGTGTCTTTTCATTTCTCAAAACTGCTTCTAAAACAATGTACATTTCTTCTGTCTCACTTCTGTACGAGGCTAGATCATCTTGTTCTTCGTCTTCAGTGGCTAGTTCAATTTTGGTTTGTGCATCTTCAAATTGTTTCCAATACGATCTTAAACTGTCTAACCTCACCTCTATCTCTGCATCAGTTGATTTATTTTCTACAATTAGTTTAAATGCTTTGGAAATTTGCCTTTTTGCAACTGATCTCAACTTCTTTATATTTCCTATTTCCGTCATCCTCGTCGCCATTTATTGTATAATAATAAGATTCAAATCAAAAGATAGGTACATTATTTTATTCAATCCATTCTATTTACAAAATTGGTAAACATAAACAATCAATTAATGAACACATGTTTAAAACTATACATCACTATGTTAACTGGTTTATCTTCTTTTTTATGAATATAATATAAAGAATGCTTTTGGAAGAACCTTTAAATAGCATTAAAACCGTATTGGTGGATCTTTTGTGGTACACACTTCTGCGATTTCATCAGTGTTATGCAGATTAAATCTGTGTGTGTGTGTGTTTTTTTTAGAAAATATATGTTTGTTGAGAAGGCACGTTCTCATTTCAAAGGGAGGTCCAACCTAAAGTTGTGAAAGTTTTATTTTTCCTTCGTCACGTCTGTCATCATACCGTACTTCTGTGCCAATGAATAACCCTCTAAATTTAGCAATTTTAGCATAACATTGATTCCATGACATGCGGATGTCAGTTGTCTCAGCCTTATCAATTACATAAAGTGCCCAATATAATATATCCTCGGAATGTTAGGTGTAGTGGAATATACTTGTAGTGATGCTGTCTTTTATTCTCGAAATGAGGGACCTCGTTCTTATGGCCATGCGGCTTCATTGGCAACAAATAATGTAAATGACAAAGCAATGCTGCATTTTCAGAAAGCAAATACTGTAAATTGTTACGTAAATAGTGACGTTTACATGCATTGTTGTTAATCAACGTATCTTAGAAATGATTAGGATATCTAGTTCAAAAGGAACACGACCTTTCTGTCATTACAGTAACTGCTTAAATGGTAATTATTACTCTTTGTGAAATTTGTTTTACATTCAAAGTGTAGTGTTATTTTCACAAATCTCACTTAAGGCCAAACAAAGTGGGCCCCGGTCCGTAATAGGCCACTGCAAAACATCTTTCAAGATATAGGTACTATTTTAATTTTAGGCAAGTTTTCTGTGTTTGGATATTATTAGACACGATAAGAGCACAATGGACTTCTTCTGCAGATCTTTTTTTGGTTAAGAGAAATATAAATCAAATTAATAAGTGTCACAATCCAAGCGTATTAAAATGGCTCTGGCCTGAACTTTTTTGTAGTATCAATTTTGGACATTTTGTTTATGTTACTATCTGGATAAGTTACCGGTGCATTTTGAGATATTTCTTTTAGAGATAAATTAAATGGGTTTTGTTGCTGAGTAGCGCTAGTAAACATGTACAACCCTTTTCGTTAGTTTAATAACATTCAAAGGCTCTACTCTGTTTTCACTAAGCTGAAAGAATACATGGAAGTAACACCTCTAAAAAGTCTGCAATAAATTGCAATTTTGCAGATTAATGACTTTCTAAATCATACACACATGTCTATATAAAAATTATTAAAATATTAATCCAGTTGCTGTAAACCACTATCAATTTAAACAAAATATGAACACGGCTCATATGGGCAACGTGCCCTTCTGCACTTGTATTATTTTGTATTGTATTACACAATCAAAATCTTTTTTAATAATTGAAAACATGTATGGAAATGATCTCATGAACCTATCTGTCTTGAATAATATGACAAAATATCGGCAAAAGTGGTCAAAAAGGCAGACACCAACCCGTACAATAGATATAATATAATTCGATAAGAAATCATTTTAAGAGTTTCTGTAATATTAAGGTTTTCCAATGATTTCGTAATTGAACGTTATATTGCAAAACATGAGATGATGCAGAACAAAATAAATTTTAAAATCAGAAAATTACATTGCAAATACTTCTTTTTGACAAACTCAGTAGTGTTGTTTAAAATGCAATTTAAATATTAACAGTTGCTTCATTAAAAAGTAGTGAACAATTATCCATATGACGATAATGTAAACAAATCTGGGAAGGAAACTTTAAAGGATTTTAGGGCAGAGCCCTAAGGGAATTTACTTCGTTTTTCTGTTGATGGCTCTTCTACAGACCGATACCTTTTTTTGAACACCTCTACCAAGTTTCTACGCCCAGCCGTTCTCTCAAATTAGTGGGGACAAAGTTTCCAATTAAATGTTTAGATTCCCCCATGTTAATCTTATAGGAGAAACCCCGACTTTGACGGAAGATCCTGCCCAAACTAATAAAGATTTCAAAATATGAAAACCATTTTACAAATCTACAAATCAGGGTAATTTTTTTGGCACCTTAATCATCAAAATCGGTTCAAAAATGAGGGAGGAGTTTTGTTCACAAAAATCGGCTTAGCGTTATATATATATATTGATGTTTTCTGTATCCTTGTTGATCTCGACAAGATGGAACTATTTGCTACTTGGCGGCATTTCAAACACATCATAAAATACACAATTATTGAAGGAAACCTGCGTATGGATGATATGTAAATTTTGTTAACGTGTATGGTTTTCATTCAATTTAATTCATCACTTTTTTTATAAAAGCTAACATTAAAAATTCAGTTTTTCTCAAGTAAACCAATCACATAAAAAAATATTAACTAAGACACTATCTATCTATATAAATAATACGCTAAGCCGATTTTTGTTAACAGAACTCCTCCCTCATTTTTGGACCGATTTTGATGATTAAAGTGTCAAAAGAATTGCCCTAATCTGTAATTTTGCAAAGTATTTTTCGTTTTTTGATATCTTTATTAGTTTGGGCAGGATCTTCCATCAAAGTTCGATTTCTCCCATAAGATTAACATGGGGGAATCGAAATATTTAATTGGAAACTTTGTCTCCACTAATTTGAGAGAACGGCTGGGCGTAGAAACTTGGTTGAGGTGTCCAAAGAAAGGTCTTGGTCTGTAGATGAGTTATCATAAGAAAAACGAAGTAAATTCGCTTAGGGCTCTGCCCCAGAAGCCTTTAAAGATCCCTCCACAGATTTGTTTACATTTTAGTCATGTAGATAATACTTTTTGATAAAACAGCTGTTAATTTTAAAATTGTATTTTAAACAACACACATTTATTGGGAGTTACTGAGTTGTCCAGAATAAGTATTTACAATGTTATTTTCTGATTTTAAAATTGATTTTCTTCTGTATCATGTCATATTTTGCAATATAACGTTCCATTACGAAATCAGTGGAAATTCCTTTTATCACAGAACTCCTACAATAATTTTTTATTGAACTATCTAATTCTGTTGTACGGGTTTTTGTCTGCCTTTTTCACCACTTTTGCCTATATTTTATCGTTTTATTCTACACATCATCATAGGTTCATGAGATTATTGTCATATACGTTTTCAATCATTGGAAAAATATTCGAATGTGTAATACAATAGGCTACAAAGTAATACAAGTGCAGAAGGGCACGTTGCCCATTTGAGGTCCATATTTTGTTAAATTAATAGTAGTTTACTGCAACTGGATAAAACATTTTACAATATTAATATAGAAATATGTGCACGATTTAGAAAGTCATTAAGCTGTAAATCTGCAGTTTACTACAGACTTTTCAGACAGGTTACACCGAAGTATTCATTCAGCATAGGGAACACATAATATAGATATGTATATAAATAAGAATTTGAAAGAGAGCCTTTGAATGCTATTAGAATAACGAAATGGGTTGTGCTTGTTTACTAGCGCTACTCAGCAACAAAAACCATTTAAATATCTCAAAAAAATATATTCTGAAAGTGCACTGAGCAGCAGCCTAAAAATACTAAGCAACTTACCCATATAGTTACAAAATGCTTGAACTCGCATTGTAACATTTATAATTTGGCATATATTTCTCCAGCAGATTATTTATCTGTAGAAGAAGTTTATTGTGCTCTTATCGTGTCTAATAACATCCAAAGACAGAAACCTAGCCTAAAATGGTACCTATCTTGAACAATTATTTGCAGTGGCCTATATTACGGACCGTGGCCCACTGGGTTGTTAACATGATTGAAAATAACACGACATTTCGGCTGTAAAAAAAGGCATAGAGAGTAAATACTATTTAAGCAGCTACTTCAAGTATATTCCACTACACCTATAACTTTCCGTAGATGAATTACCGTAAGCCTTGAAAATAACCGTCGATTTCTACGGGTTTCACCTAGTTATTTAAAGAGCTGTATGTATTACCATGTAAACACATAAACTTTGTTCGCATTAAAACATGTAGTTCTGTTCTTAAAAACCCCACAAGATTTATAAACTAACTAGAGGACCCATGCTGCTCCGCAGCGTTAAAATAAATATCATATCCAAAAAATAATTAAACTTTTACGAGCAAATTTCGTTTACATATAAGCAGAGTGAGACTGAAGAAAAATATATGCCGGTGCTTGACAGGAAGTTTGTTTGTGCTTACCTTCAATTTGAGGCCTCGATCATGAAAATCGGTCGGGTAGAAGAGCCAAACGAACCCGGAAAAGAAAACCAGGTTTAACTCCCTTAAGAAATACATGGGGAGCAAATTTCGCCTACGTATAAGCCGAGTGGGACTGTAGATAGATATATGCCGATGCTTGATGGGAAATCTGTGCGTGCATACCTTCAATTTGAGACCTAAATCATGAAAATCGGTCGGGTAGAAGAGCTAAACTAACTCGGAAAAGAAAAACCAAATTGTACTCCCATAAGAAATACATGGGGAGCAAATTTCGTTTACGTATAAGCCGAGTAGGACTGTAGATATATATATATGCTGATACTTGATGTGAAATCTGTGCGTGCATACCTTCAATTTGAGACCTAAATAATGAAAATCGGTCGGGTAGAAGAGCCAAACAAACTCGGAAAAGAAAACCCAAATGTTTTTAATAATACAGGGTGAGTTTTAAATTAGTTCCCCCGCCCTACCTTTTTCTACATTTCTTAAGATATTAACTTCGGACCACATCAGATCATTGTAGTGTAGTAAGTACTTCGTTTTGACTGGGTATACATTTTTGGGCGCAATCTTGGATATTGGATATAATGCTTTGGATACAAAGTTTTTTTTCAAATGTAAAGGTTGGGTTGTGACCCATTATTTCAAACTAGAATTTTACGC